TACTTATTTTGCCAGCTGATGGCAGCAGATCAAAGGTATTTGTACTCTACTATTAAATAATAAAAAAACTTACTGGGTAGACTGGATGATCATTACGGGATGTACACAGTACCTTTAGGTATTGCGTGCGCAACAGCAGGTGTGAGTAGGCCAGGAAGGTTCAGAATTACCACCCACAAGAGCACCAGTTTATCACAGTTGCCGCTAGGGTCGTGCATTTTTATTGACTTACAGTGATTATTGTTTGTGCAACCGCACCAACTTCGCTGGGTGCGTTTCATATCGGCTTGCATGGTTACGGGCAGATAGAACGATTTTGAATAAACGGAATATTAAGTCTGTAAAGAAACGTTTGTAAAGAAAACCAGGATTAGAAATCAACGGACAACATCGAATTTTTTGAACGTATATTTCATACCATGCAAGTCGGATTCCCCGTGTCCGAAACCAAAGTAGCGGTACTATCATCCCCGAGCGCTGGAATACCGTCACACACTCTCACAGCCGCTCAGTACGGTGCTGAGTGTAAATCAAGGATGCGGGGACAGAGAAAGACTTTGTCCAAAGTTTTGCACTCTGTGAATAGGTTGTGGTGCAGATTGTTGGACTGGATGTTGGTTCCTGTGGATATGCTGTTCGAATGCCTAAGAGATTACCGTGAAAATGAACCCAGAACGGATTCGGCTAGACATTGCTGTTCGTTCTCTTTTATTGCACCATTCTGTTCGTTCTCTTTTACCTCACTCTCTATATTATGGTTCCTCTTAGTCTGTTCGGTTCGTCCTTTTCGGGAATTTATCCATTCGCGAGACATTGTGAGTTTACCAGTAAAATTTATAGCTTTAAAGGTTTTTTCAAATATACTTAAATTTACGCATTTACGACGAAGATCACTTGCTTCTATTTCTCACTTTACGAGCCCATCGCCGGATAACCGTTGAGTGTTTCTTTCGAGTCCAAAACAAATTTTCAATTTGTTTTTGACGTTAAAAACAAACTTTTATTAGTGTAAACCCGCGCAGGCGTAGTATTATCTGTAATGGCAGATGCCGCTTAAAGATACTTCTAATTTTCAGTTCAGTTTTGGTTTAAAGGTGAACCTAACGGGAACGGATTTATCGCATTTGCCGGCGGCAAAATTTCAACCCAATGGAACGGTCTCAGTTACCAACCGTCCGAAGCGCTGCTGAACGCTACCGATGAGGACCAGTTGAATAACCATTTCAACGCATCCGACCAGCAAGACGTTTTCATGCGAAAGTGGTGCTTTTCTTTGCAGTGCGGTAAGAATATTGACCATCAGTATTATGTACCCGTTACACCGTACAGACAAAGTACAAGCCGGTCCGGAGATAGAGCACGATAGAGAACAGCGAACAATGTAAATTCATGGATTACGCCAAACAACATACTACGCCACGTTACGCCACACTCTTTAAACACGTAACATGCTTTTGGCTGGCTGGTGGCCTGGTACACGCCATACATTTTAATGAGTATATCGTAATTGCCTTGCGGAAGGTGGCCAGAAAACAGTCGGTGCAGTAAGGGACAATCTAACTGCGGAGCGCTTTTACGCATTGTGGTAGGCGTAGTGTAGTGGCCATAGGGCTAGGCGCTAACATCGCGCTTATTATGCGTTAGCAGTTCTGTATCGTGCTCTAACTCCGGACCGGCTTGTACATACATCTGTATATATAACATGCACTGTACATATAATCAGACGTATGTGTGTAGTTGGTATAAATAAAACGATCTTGGCTCTTATAATGTAGAAGCGCTGTTCTAGATTCAGTGCCACTGATGGCTCGAAAGTCATCACAAACTACAGCCCTGGGCAGCCAAGTTGGGGCACTTTTGGAAAATAATTATTAAATATTCCTAAACATTGTTTTGTCTTGCTTTCCTTATTTTTCTAGTGTAACTTTTAATTGTGAATCTACGAGTGCTAAAACCGGTATCTTTTGGTGTGCCAGTAGGGAGCCGAGCAACGATTAAAGGAATGGGGTAGGGGTTGTTTTTAGGCTGCTTATTACCGCCCCTCTAGAATGTTCACGAACTTGTATTTTTGCGTAACGTTTTTTTTTAAAATGCTGAGTTAACTATTATGCATTCATTACGTGGTATTAGAAAACTTTTTCGCGATCGTTGCTCGGGGCGACTACAAAACATTGTAGACCTTCCATAGACTTGTATGTTAATTCATACCTGACGAAGAACGTTGTTGCCTAGCGCACAGACCCGGGCTACCTCGAGCTGATGTTTTTCATAGATAGAACACTGATCCCATTAGACAATTTTGATGTCTCTAAGGATTTTTATAATATGGCCGGAAAGATGGGAGTGCTTGACAAATGGAAGGAAAAACGAATTAAGCGGTAAACAGAAACAGCCATGGGGTTTGCTTAAAATTTTGGGAACGGCATGCGGTTGCGATTATTTTTGGGTTAAAAAAGCCTAAGTCGACGCTAAGTACCTCCTAAACGAGATATTATTAAAATTGGTTGTCTACGACATCCTGCAGCTGCAGGGCTGGCGAACAAAGAAGGTCACTGGGCACTTCGGCAGTGCTTGTGAGAAAACTGCAAAGGTCACGTCGGCTTAGCGGAAATCGAGCGAGGCCCGATAGATTCCAAAGGAGCACTGGATGAGAAACACCATACAATTACTTTTTCTGGACAAAAGCATCACCCGAATTTTTAAACAAATTGTACGCGGGAAGATCAATCTAACTGCAACTGGGTCGAGCCGCATTTCGAAGCTGGGTGTCTCAGCTTTCGATCTCACTGTTCCCCGAAACACACCCCCATCGTAAGACTCCTGAGCGCAAAAGATGTTGGACACATACAGCAATCATATAAAAATCAAATAGCTATTTTTCTATCGATGGCTGAGCAACGATAATTTTTCACAAAAAGTGCCCCAACTTGGCTGCCCAGGGCTGTAGTACAGACTGTATTTCCCCGCAGTTTCTCGATTATTGTGAAGCTGCATAATGTTGAAACGTTGTTTGATTATAACTGCAGCATTTTACAGGTATCGATATGTCGCATTTGGGATACTGTCCGCGTACCAATATAACAGGATGGAGCAGCCGACCAGCGCCCCTGGCGGGTGTCAGCGAAGGGATGGCGGCCATTTTTTCTCCCTTCGTTCTTACGTTTATGGAACTTGTCTTCGGGATCGGAAACAGCAGAGCGACCAAATGCGCTTTTGCGGTCCTGGCTCTGGTTCACACGGCGGTTGTCGGGGTCTCGATTGCGTACCACATCATTATACAGGATGTCATTGCTTCCTGTCAAGAATTCCTGTCGAGTCCGTTTGCGCCTGATACCTCCGAGCCGTGTATCAAAGTTGGCCTAGGATGCGCAATTACAATATAATGACCTGTGGGGGTCACTGCATGGTGTCGTCGCAACCGCGAGCAGCGCTTCACCCCGGATGTTGCCCCCAAGTTCCGCTTCGAGCCGCCTGCTAGAGGACGTTTTACGTTTTTCTGGCTGTCTTCGTCACCGCCACGGTGGCGTTGGCGGGACCTTCAGTTTCAAAACCGGGCCGCAAAACTCAGCCGCATGAGCTCTTGCACGGCTTCCGCTTTATCTTATAATTTATTCAACTAATATTACAATACTGCTACCGATCGATATTACGCGACGGTAGCTATCGGCTTCTTTGACGTCCTAGCAACCGTCTAGTGTGGGCTGTTGAACGGAATCCGCTGCTCCTTAATGGCCTATCCTTAATGACCGTTGTACAGTCTGGATTCGTCAGTAGCAAAATCACCCGCATTTGCAAAAGCACTGGTTTCTCTCCACAAATGTGTCGCGCGCTTACTAGTATTTTGTTCAAAACGCTGGGTGCTTTCGGCCGGTGCAAGACGTCTGCGCAGTGTTACAGTGTGTAGTACTCTGTAAAGTTACTGCTTTCATTTTTTAACTCTTGTTTGAACATGTAACATTGACCACTGCTGACACAATCATTTTTCAAGCATACTGTAGTAGAATTTTAATTTTTCCAGAAACGAAACTTTTCTGAATTTGGATCAGCAGATGTGCCATGATCCGTATTTTTCTGTTTTCCGCGTACGAAATACAGTACTTAATCAATTTTGTGCATTTGATATCGATTATCTACCAACTGAACCTGAACTTGGTTAATCCGCTGATTTCTGTTAATATTAAACGGTTCAAAACCCGTGTGTTGACGTACACCGATTAAGAACGATGTACTTCCTGCACAACATCCAAGGCGTACAGGCCGACCCATAGTTCAGCACTGCGATGGGTCCTCATCCATTCAAGTACAGTAGCTCGATTGCCAACACTTGCTGGGAGGGTTCACAACGCAGATGACGCAACCTGCCGGTGCAGCGTCTTACGAGTACGTAAATCGATTATTACCTTCGCGTGTTACTTTACAAGGACCGCCCATCGACTTTCTGATTTATCCTGTGCGAGGACGGTTTTCGTCGCTACTTCCGCCTTCCCGTGCGGCCCATAAAAAATGAGGTAAACCTGATAATAATTCAAACATCCCGGCGGGAACTATTCCGGATGCTAATGCAACTGCGCGCACAGTTTTTATAAGTACCGATAATCACCGCTGTTACTGCACTTCCGCTACATGCACGGGAATCCTAATGCCACATCCGTCAAGGCGCCAACACAAAGAAAACTACATTAGCAGTATCCACAAGCCGGTTATCTGCACACAATAATGCCATTAACTAACAAGCGCTAAGTTTGCGGGAATTTATTTGCAAAACCGTGTACAATTCCAGTAAATCCTGCTAGTACCTGGTTGATCGTATTCCAGACAGTAGACGCATCAAGCGAATACTAAACTACGGTTTACCTAAATGCAGTTTTTCATAGGTTATATAAAAAAGCCATCGTAAGCAAAGTGTGGACGGTTTACGTTAGACTGCGATTGGCACAATCTATAAACGTCGTTATTCGATCAAAAGATTCCAGTTAGGATTTATGACAATATGGCTTGGTTTCCGTAACGATCAATCCTGCCTAAACCAGTTTTATAGCTCGCAATGCGAGCCTGGCATAAAAATTGTAATACACATACGCCGCAGCAAGCTATATGACTGCAGCTTTACGTTAAGAAAACCATTTTTCGGTACGGTTGCGCGTTATGCTGTAAATTGTACTCCCTGCAATTTGTTATAATGCTCGCCTCCATGGATTCTCCTTCCATTAAGACAGCGATAATTCAACCACCGGATTCCACAGTATCTCCATGTAGAGTACCTGCCGTGGCCATACGTGATGATGCTGCGCGACACGACACTGGCATTGTGTCGAAAGTGTGCGATTTGATGAAAAAGTGGGAATGGAAAATGATGCGCGCTGTGATGGACACTCACCGTAAATGGCGACCACGGAAGTTTCTTACTGCGAGCAAGGAGGAGAAATTGACAAACAGCATCACTACAAAGGAAGATTCCGATTGTTGTTTCGGCCTGTGGTGCTGCGGGTTCGTTTTGTATCTGGCGCTCTATCTGGCCGTTCCCATGTTTTTATTCTTTCATGCGGACTGGGCAATTACTGCGACCGGGAAGCCATGTAAGCTTTTAAAGTCATTCGTACTTGCGCTAATCTGCCAGTCCCCAAAATGCGTATGCGAACAGGATAAAACACTGTTGACTTTGAAAACTGTTAATACTGTAATAAATGAAGTAAAATTATTCTGAATCAAAAAAGAAAAAATTGAGTAAATTGTTAATTATGAACTACAATTATTGTTTGAGCCTGTTGCTTTCGATATGTTTTTTTTCCAAAGAAAAATTCATAGTACGAGATTCAGTAATTCAGCCGAATACTCGCGCAGTCCATTTTTAATTGATCCTAATAATAGTTCATTATTTATGATGAAACAGCTTTTCTTTTACACTAACAATGCCAGTGTTTATGACCAGTGTTATAACCTCATATTTGTGTAAGTGCCAGAAACATATTGTCGGAGAAAATTACTCGATTTGGGTTTTTGACGTATGTTTTAGTGCTGTTTTATTATAATCTGAAATACTATCAGCTATTTCCACTACGTAACATTTGCTGTATTTTTTGCATTGGCATTGTATTTTATCTGGAAGATGCTCTCAGCTAGCAATCTTGTAATTTTGATGTGCGAGTTTACTCGTCACGGACTAACGGAACATTCTGCAACACGAAGTTTGCAGACTCGTTTTATAAAAAATAAAATAAAAAATATACTACTATAATATCAAAATAAACACTTATAGCCCAACGTAAAAACTTTTAAGAAATATATTTAATTTTTTCCCGCGGTTCTATTTAAGGTCAACCGAACACAAACGGCCTGATTTCGTTTTCGGGCGGAACGATACCGGTCGAAAAAAACCCAGAGTTTCTTAAAAAGCAACCGGACACGAATCCTTTCCTGAGAATAAGGATAGCAGACCTTGAATATTTCCCATCAAAGTCGCTGATGAACAGCACCGATGAGGAGCAGCTGAACAATGACATTCACCAACAGGCACGGCAAGAAGATTTCATGAGGAAGTGGTGTTTTCAACTGCAGTGCGGTACGACAGATTCCCAAAGTTATCACATTCCGTACAAATATATCTAGAATTCCCAGAGGTGTATTTTTTCCATCGAAGGTCTGGATATGACGGAACTCGGATACTGTCCCCGCTCCAACATAACCGGATGGGCGGAACCGGAGATGCGACAGCGCGGCTATCAAGCAATCCTTCTTGCTATAATGGCGGTGATCTTGCTCATTTTGATGCTAGTCACTCGACCCTGCGACAACGACGACAATGGAAACGCTAGATTTTTTCGCGTTGTCATTCTCATCGCCCACACCGTGGTTGTCGGATTTTCCATCAAACTGTATGCTGAGTTCTTTCAAGATTATCCGTGGAACGCGTTTGCGCCCAGTATCAGCCCTCCCCGTGATCCGGCATCCAGATGGCGCTCTCTATCCTGAAGGAACTTCCTAAATACCTAAATCTTTTGGTAACCTGTCAACTATCAAGCATTCAAGTTTACTTCCGGGTTTCATAAATTAACTTGCAGTTGGTAGAGTTCAGATGTTGATTATGTTCTCCGTAAAATTGCAGCGACAATACTCCAGCATAATTATTATTATTATCTCCCTGAATCAGTCAACCCATTCATGGGACTTCGTCAATGCAACTATTATACTTATTTCATTAACGCTTCGGCTTACAGTACTGACAAACTGCTTCGCTTAAATCGAACCTTAGTGGTTGATATAATTATATTATGCATAAACACTGGGTGGATTTTTTTCTTGCCCGAACTAAATTTAATAGATTTAAGCGGCAGACCAAATGCATAATAATATTTTTTGACTTTGCGCAAGTTTTCGCGGATTTGATTTGATATTCGAGAATGCGTGTTCCCGGTGCAACCTGTTTAAGAGCTGCAGGTGAATTTCCAGATCGTTTATTTCCGCACCGGCAGACAGTTTTGTATGTGTTGTATTATATACAAAGCACATACAAAATTTTTGTATGTGTGTTGTACTCGTAATACCCGGTAGGCATTTAGCACGCTTCCTTGTAATAAATCTCCCATACGTCCGCCGTTCAGTGGTCAGTACATAATAATATTATGTAAAAAGGTGTATGTAGATTGTAGAGATTTGCGATCAGATACGGTCTAATTAACCGGTGGTTTTAAAAATAACCTAACACTCATAACAGTTACTATGCTGTCAAAAGGTGTGTTCGGTAATCACTAACGCAGATCAATGATAGAAGGTGAAGCTGGTTAACATGAAGTACGGAATACGTGGAACTGCGAGATGAAAAAATTAATATTCCGCATTCTTTGTAAACGTGATCAGTAAAACTATGCATAGTAACTTCAACTTGTACAGGCACTTCGCGGTACCGTTCTGTGTTATCCATTTGCCCTTGATAGAGTTTTATTATGATTCAGGTCAGGGTTGTTTATTAGCGATTCGTGTTGGGAAATGTAATACAAGAGTATCAGTTAACAAAAGAGAACATGACATCATTTCCGTTCAGCCAAATGAAAGGCAAAGTACACATCTTCCTTCTCTACCATTTCACTAAATGTACCGAGAACAGAAACTGCATTTCCTCTCTGAATCTCAATACCAATTTTTTGGCGTAAGAACTCTCCTGAGCGGGGGTTGCCTGTACTGTCGATAATCTTTCTCGATAGTTCCTTGAAGAATTTCTTCGTCAGTGGACCGAATGTACCAGTGGTTTCGAACGCCAGCGGTTGGACGATGTAACGGTCTGCCAGCCCGCTATACTTTCCTAACTTCCGGTTTTCCCGTATTTCCGCTGCACTGCCCGGCACTCTGGACGTCTGTGCGATGTACGTTTGGGCAAATGTGTCCGCCACGGTTATATTATTATGATTTGTATTTTCCTAATGGTAAGCGAAATCATGTATACAGATAATCCACACAAAAAAGAACCAGACCATTCAAATGACAACGTACCAAAACTCCTGACGAACATTAGTTCTGTGCAGCGTTATTTTACAAACGGCCATCTGCAGATATCAGGAAACGACCTGAGCACAAGCAAAACTGTTGCTCATAATCGAAGTGCACATGCACTTTATTGTCAAATTTTTAACATGTCCGGGATATGTTCTCACTTCATAGCCCACGCATACTGTAGTACTGGGTTTCCGAACGCTTTCTTGGCAGAAGAGCCATTTCTTCAAAGCAAAGCTTTTTGTAAGCTTCAGATATTTGCCTCCAAATATTGTTTACCATGCACGTATCTGTTGATTTCATACGATGTCGTTAAATGGAATACCTTTGTTTAGATGGAGGCACCGGTTAACGCTACGACTCCTCTTCATCCTCATCCTCTTCTTCTTCCGGATGACGTCGTTTGTGATGATTGAGTTTATAGAGTATGATTCCTCCAATAATCAGCAAAATACCCTGCTTTAATTCACAAATAGAGTGAAAACAAAGGTGATCATGGCATGGCTGCTGCATACCGCAACGGCAACCGCGGCGGCAATGACAATAATGTTTGGTCCACCGTCTAGTAAAGGACGCGACTCTTTGCATGCGACTTTTTGTGAGCTTGATCAAACACAGTAAACTGGCTTGCCTTTCGATCCAGCCGCAGTATCACTGCTCGCATTTGTCGAACCCCCTTTACCGCCTGCTTGCGATGCAAGGCCTTGCCCACTAGCCGCACCTCCAGCTTCCTTGTTACCAGCAGCTAATTGTAGGCTCGGATTGCCCGCAGAGCCTGCTGCACTGCTTGGTAAAAGGACATTTTGCGGTAGGGAAGATCCAATTGGTATCGGCTTTTTCTGTACATACAGAGGAATCGTATTACCACGCCGTAATTAGCGCTTGATGGGAGAGGTCTAAGACCACTTGTTGATATAACATTGTAATTTCAATATGTACAATACTGTAATGTGTTTTTTTTGACAGCTTTCGTCGAACTAATTAATGTGTTTTTACGTTTTAAAACATGATAGTACGAGTACAAATAATATAATACATACTGCGCGCATCAGCATCAAAAAGCTCATACCAATTGGAACCGCCAAGATGGCACGCGTATTTAGGGCGAAAAGCTGCGGCAGCTATCGAGAAACCTCAGTAGTTTATAAAAAATTCGACTACGCTGTTCATTGACAAAAGTTATCCTTAATATGAACATATGTTAAACAGTTAAAGCACTTCCAGTATTCAGCTTTAGAAGATTTCCAAAAAGGCTTTAACAAATTACAGTACAGATAAGATGTATGCTTTGCTACGTCTGGAAAGCAATGTAAAGCGATTCCTGTAACCGTTCGACAAAAAACGAATGTAAATTTGCACGCAGTGACTAAAACCGACAAATGTTGGTTTACTTGATTATCTGGTAAATCTGCGTTGTCTGCAGCGATGGAAATTGCGGCTAGTGTGAAATTATTGCAATAAGACCCTGCGCAAAAACAGGAATATTTTCTGTCTGCTGGATTCGCTTGATCAGTTATACAGATTAAGGGCTGCGTAGCTGTGAAGACCGGAGGGATCGGTAAAGTCACTTGAAGGCATTCCCTATAAATCGGGACTTTGTTTTTTCTGTTTCTTCTGTCCATATAGTAAAAAATTCCGCAGTAGACGGTGTAAGAGTTCTGATTGGGTGGGCAAGTCTTTACTGCGCTGCTTGGTAAGGTTCCAGGTGCACAAGCTGCGACAAGGTTGGCATCTTTCACAAGTGCTATCATTGGTGGATCTGTGGTAGCGTCGTCGGTTGTACACGCCTTTTTTAAATTATCATTAGCCTTTTTTAAACCGAACTCTGGACAGTCTGGTCTCGGATGTAGTGTACTTTGCAATGAATTTTTGAAGTAAGGTAGCTATTATTACGTAGAGGGACATTAAAAATAATAATGTTACTTTAAAAATCTGACATCTGCACTTTGAGCAAGTTAACCGTGTTCGGTACTGTACACAACCATCTTGTGATGCAAAACCCGTCGATTTTTGCTGCATTTTGTCAATATAGCTGTGCTGTGCATTTAAGTACCTTACAATTGTACGAGTACTGTATTTAATATAGTCTTCGCGTGGCGTCAGCCGTATCTACGCAACGTGCTCGTGTGTCGGTACTTCTATTCCGTTCCGATTGCTCCATTTACCGCCATACAACGTTTTGGGTGATTTTGGAATGTTTAAAATTTTACATTTTAATCAATTTGAACCTGCACAGGCGTATAAATCCGTTCATTGGCTATAGCCTAATGAAAGTACCGTACACAACGTATTCAAATTCACTTTATTGACCTATGCAGCGGGACAGGCATTTGACTTAAGGCATTTGACACTCAAAAGTAAGAGGGAATAAGAGAATTTCAATGAGTGTGAAACTGCCGACATCATTTAGCAGAGCTGTTTAAAACACCGGTGAAAACTCAAAAATTGTGACTCGAGACTCGTGTCTCTTGTAACTATTACGATGTCGTACCCCACTGGCATAAAGTACCCAATTGAGACACGAGAGAAGGGAATTCCAGACAGGTTTATGCGGCAAAGCGCGTTTCACCGGTTGCAGTAATGTAGCCGTAGCACAACAATCCACTTCATATGGCCAGCCTATTATATAAAGCCAGCCCATGGCCCTTCAAACAGCCTATTATATAATTATGATGTATGCTAAAAGGGTTCTCTGGGTTTTAAAACGCTTGAACACACAGATGCCGATGGCCGTATAATAAGGCCGTATAATGGTTGCACTAGCTGAATAGAAAGGTCACCGTCTAAGCACGGTCTACTGACTCTCGTGTGGTCAGAATTTGGCTGTGCAGTATGGTAGACGTGATGATGCAGCTCTTGACGTGCACAGTACATGCAGCCGTTAAAACACTGTGGCTATTTATCGGTGTTTCGGGTTCACACAAAAATTTTCAGGTCAATGTGCACAAATCATTCGACTGACCGCGGGAAAAGGCATAAAATAATTATAACCAGATGTTTTGGTAGGCTCAAAACCAAAACATTCCACGAATGTGCAAGAATTTGATATGTACCATTGTTATCATGTACATGTACCAGACCATTTCCCTTCATCTCGCAATATATTTCCAGCTCTACTGAGCTCCGTTTGCTGATGTACGGCAAAACACCTTGTTACAAATTAAGGGGAAAAGCTGTTCAGCTATCAGCTATCTTTCAGTTTTTTTTTAAGGTTTTTTACAATAAACTTGTGCAACGGAAGCAACGAAACGGTAAAATATAGTTTCCTTTCGTCTACCTTACCTTAAAAATGAATATTTTGGTATATAAATAAATCTAAAAGATATTTTATACTTCGTAGTGAACGATAATGAGGAAAAAACAATTACAATAAAACTGCTGCATGATTGTTACGGTTAAAGTGCAGCAAACACCAACCGCATACATGGCGAACACCCCGAACATAATCATCAAGCGTAAACAATACACGAGCCAATCTAAACTTAAAAGATCCGAGGTCAAGCGCCACAGTGAAACATTTTTTTTAGCGACGTACGGATATGCGGCGAAGTGATAGCAATGTAGATGGGATCGGCCGCCGCTTGCAAAAGATTCAGAGTCCCGGATATCTCGTAAAACAGATCATTATTATACGCATTCAGTAAAGTCAGTTTGAAGTAGATCATACTAGGAATCCAGCCCACCACGGCCGTGGCGGTGAGTATGGTGAAAACCCGATAGTTATTGCTTGAACGCTGTGCCGGTGAATTTTGACTGTCAGTTGTTGTTGGATTCGAAAGAGCAACCGGAACAGCATCCCGGAATGTGGTAGTGATTTGCTTTCGCTTGTGACGGCGTCGTAGCATTATGTAGGGAAAGCCGGCGAAAACCGTGACTTGCGGGAAAAAATAGCTCCAGAACTCATTGAACGCGATCAGGTTCCACTGTGCTACGGGTGC